TTAAACTGATGTTGTTCATTTTTATACATTTATTACTAGTGTACGCATGTGTTCACTGTGAAGAATTAGAGTGTGAAAAGACTAGAAAAGGCAAAAGAACACATAGGCCTCATTACCACTGGATGCAGAATAAAATTTTTCTCCACAGTGATCTGCTCAATATATTGAAAACAAAAGACATGGAAGATGACGAGAAGCAGTGCCTTGGACTAGTTGTGCTAGTTGAAGGTATTCTGATAGGTGCTAGTTCGACGGAGAAGATTCCATACTCATGCCTCAAATATGCTTTGGATTTTGATCAGTACTGCTGCCAACCGTGGGGTAGAGATGCTTTCGAGATCATCTCTTCTTGCGTATCAAAGATGGGTCCAGAGACATGGACCAAAGAACGGTACAACGTCAAAGGTTTCGTTCTCGTACTTTACCTATGGGCGCTCAGCACAGTTCCTGTCTTTGGCGAAAAATTCGCCAGCAAACGTGAAGGATCAGAAGATGCAGTTCCATGGTGTTTAAGATGGGAAAGCACTGAAGCCCCAAGAATGACCGACATTGTTCTTATCGAGAAAAAGGGTCAAGTAAATTCCTGCTCTCTTTCTCTAATGGCTTATTTGAGTTGATAAGGATTTGATAAGGGTTTTATAAAGTTTTTATAAAGATTTTATAAGGGTTTTTAAATGTTTTTCAACTGACAAATCAGTTTTATAAGGATTTTTAAATAATATTATACAGTTTATATAACGATTATAAAAGAACCTTGGTTTATATAAGAATTTTTTTTCAAGGTAAAAGTTCACGCGATTGTTGGCGATCCAGAATATTATAAACATTTGGTCTCAGAAACGCATGATGACGATCTGCCATTTATGGACATGGTTAACCTCATTATGATGGGGAAAKTYAGSATGAAGGCATCATTRTGGATGAATGAGAAAATAGATAWWRCTMAGCTGTGWRAAGSGTTAGAGGACACTTATCGACGGGCGACACAGATGGTCTACGAGACGATTCAAGAGGAGCCTAGCCAAACCAATTTCAGTGGCATGACAAATGACCAGAAGCTCGACATGATCATCGCTATTCTTGTGAAATTGGAGGAAAGATTAAAAACGGTAGCGAAGGTCCCGGAAATTGAATATCGCAAAAAAGATGAACTAAGAGAGGTAAGTGTAACAAATTTGTTATTTATCAATATTTTTAATAAAAAATGTTACTCATTCTGCATCTACTATTCCTTATAAAATCCTTATTAATTTCTTATAAAATCCTTATAAAATCTACTATTCCTCTTGCAGAGCGATAAACTAGAGCAAGAGACCAAAGAAAAAGAGAGCCAAGATAAAGAGGTAAGGAAGAATTTGTTTTACAAAATCTTTTTTTTAAAAAGTTTATAAATTTTTTTTTGTATAAACATCTTGCAGGTCAACAATGATGATGTTGATATCGACTTACCAAGCACGTTTGAAGATTCGGTTCGGGAGCCGAATACGCAAGACGCAAGTTATGCTGCAGATGACAAAGAAGACAAAGAAGAAAGAAATAACAATGATGGTGATGATGTTTACGATGCTCCGGAAGCACAAGATAGACAACCAAACAAAAATGTACAAAGATATATAAAAAATCTCTATCTGTCTGTTTATAAGYACTTTTTACAGTTAATAAGAATTTTTTACAGTTTATAAAAGATCTCTATCTGTCTGTTTTTACTGAAAAGCAGCTAATGTAAAGGTTATATATCATTTTGCAGTCTAAATCAGCTACTCCGCCTTTCTCCACTCCGAATTTTAACTTTTGTACAAAATGCTTATAAAAGTTTGTTTGCCGATATTTTATCCCAAATGCTTATAAAAATATTTAGTTGATTGAATTCACACAGCAGCT